GTCTGTATGTGGGATCCGAACCCTCGGCGGGAGCGTCGCCGCACTCCCAAGCGGCGCACTGTAGCAGTGCGCCACCGGGCTGGCCCTTTCCATGAACTTTTTGAAGAACCCTCGTATATATGCTTATGTCTTGCAAGGAAGAAGAAAAGTTCCGACTATACCTAGCATTCGTCAATATGCCAGTAAATTTTATCTCTTTTCAGCATCTGGGAGCTTAAGTGTTTGTAATATTTGCAATCTTTAATCTTCCTTGAATAAAAAAAATATGATGTTTCTGAATCTTTTTTCCATTTTGCTGCAGGAACCCCGTGTATATTTAACAATAAGGTATTCTTCTTTCCATTATAAAAGAACATGAACTTTCTTCATTCTAGATCTAAAATCATTATTACTTAAAACAAAATAGTGTCAGGAAAGGGATTCTCTAAATAATATGCAGTGGATTTTGCAAATCAAAGTAGTCCACCTGTTATGTGTTGGTGCGTAGTAGATGTATGCACATACCCTCTGCATTGTGATGGTATGCACAGACAGACCATCCTGTTGGAGATTACTTCCTGCTGGAGGTGACATTTACAGAAAGCATTATACCATTTGGCTTATTATAAATAAGTTCAAGGAAAGAGCTGTCCAGGAAAAAGATAATTTGGAAACATTAAGGATTTAAGTGTTATGGAAAAAGAACTTCGGGACATAGGCTGGCTATATTCTTTTCAAGTAGAGAATATGACATTGACCGTCACAACACAGTGGCTATATTGGTCCTGGGCAGGACCAGTCCCTGGTGTCTGTGATTCCTGTGCTCCCTGCGGTGCCTAGCAAGGGCTCAGCACAGGGTGAGTGACTGAGTCACATAATCAAAGGAGTAACAGCAAAAATGGCTGTTAAAGCCCACCCAGTCCCAAAGAAAGGCACCAGGCCCCGGGAAACTAAAGACTAGCTAAAAGTCTTGCCAAAACTATTCATTTCCATCTCTACTTTGGAGAATATCCCTCTCCTTGTGAGTGTCTTGACAGTTTTAGCATTCACTCAACTAGTAACTGCTAACTACATATTTGAATATCCAGACGCCACCTGCAAAGGATCCCCAGTTCATACTCTCATCTTGGGTGTCCACTTGGTAAGCAAAGAGCAGAAGGGTCAGGGATTAGTAATAAAATTTTGGAATTTACCTTTTTATCACCAATTGTATCTGGTTCTTCCTTCCTAATTACTGGTATAGAAACACAGGTCTACGTGGAGAAATCATCCGATTGCTCAGAGAACGAGCTAGTGGACTAAAAAGACTTGTGCCGGGCCTGTGTCCCCCTTCACAGCACTAGGAGCTGCGGGTCCTGAAAGAGCTGATCTTTACCAATAAACTTTTATGGAGTCTTGAACCAATTCTCTGAACTTCCACTTAAGGATTGTAACCATTTTAGTACATAAAAAGAAGGAGAAAAGCCTTTTACTGTGGTCAGAAAATTTTTTTTTTTAGGTATTTCATTCTCAAATTTCATTTTCTGACTTAAGTGATGACGACGTCCGAGGAAGGGTCCAGCGGGCCCTGATAGTTGGCCTCAACCCACCCTGTCCTCTCACCAGGTTCTTAGACTCTGCCACAGGAAAGAATTCAAGGGCAGAGTCATGATAGAAAGTAAGAACAAGTTTAATATAATGGATAAGAAATGCAGGTTCCACAGAGTGAGGGGTTGCCTGTGCTGACCAGGGGCAGCAGGGCTGGGCCATCCTGCGGTGTCTTGTAGGCGGCACTCAGGCTGGATGTCATTCTAAGTGAAGGCGTGAGAGCCAGGGAGGGATGCGATCTCATCTGTCATAAGCTCTTCAGGCTGCTCCGTGAGAACGATGTGAAGGGACACACGGAACAGCAGCAGCAGGACCAGCTCTGAGGCCACTGCAGTCATCGGAACGCAGTGGGGCCTGTGGGGGAAAGTTACCGCTCCCCATCAGGAGGGGGGTCTACTTCCCTCCGCTGAACGGCCTGGACAAATGAGAGGGGCAGTGAAGCGACCTGCCTTTCGAAGCTGGGGTATGAGAGGCCACGTGGCTTTTACCCAGCCCTCGTTCACTTTCTCTTGCTCAGCTCATACAAGTCTATATGGACAGAGCCCAGGGAGAAGACCCCATGAAGAAGAACTGGGGCTGCAAACAGCTGGAGTCATCTGCCGACATGAGTGTGATTTCAGGTTCGAGTCTTCCAGCCGAGACCCCTGTCCCTGTGCTGTGTCTGGAATGCACACCCACGACACATGGCTGCTGTGCACTGGCAGACCATGGGCTGATCTGCTGGGCACCGTAGTAACTGCAACGAGAGAACAGCAGCTGGACTTGGAGAAAGTGGACCTGTTAGAGGTGCCAAACAGAAACAGAATTAACAAGACGAAATCATGAAAGGGACAGAAAACTTCTTAATTATGAAGATACAGGGGGAGGCCAGAGAATAAATGTTTGAAAATCTTCCTTTACATTTTTAAGGGTGCGTGGATTTCATCTTGAGAGCTTCATGCTTTGCTTAATAATTTGATGCCTGTTAAAATGCAGATAACTAAGGGACTGGTGTAATTAGAAATTCTTTCATTAGGGCCGGCCCGGTGGCGCACTGCTACAGTGCGCCACTTGGGAGTGCAGTGGCGCTCCCACCGAGGGTTCAGATCCCACATACAGACCGGTTCCCGCTCACTGGCTGAGCAAGTGTTGCTGCGGTCCCAGCGCCGCACTCTCCCAAGTGCGCCACGGGCTCGGCCCTTTGCTTAATAATTTGATGCCTGTTAAAATGCAGATAACTAAGGGATTGGTGAAATTAGAAATTCTTTCATTAGGGCCGGCCCGGTGATTAGAAACTTTTTCATTAATACTTCAGCATGGATAAAGATTGAAATCAATTTTCTTTTTGATTAAAAAGGAGGCACCTGAGGACTAAGGACGGCATGTCCCCATGGAGGAAGGAAAAAGAAGACTAGGAACATGAAACATGAATGGTGCCTCTGTAACCACTTTCTTTTTTTTTTTTTTTTTTTTTTTTTTTTT